CAGCACACTCATTTACCTTTTAGTTCTTCAGCCATGCCATGCTCTTACCACCGTGCCTTTGTACACATTGGGCCTAATGAAGTTCTTCTCCCATTCCTTGTCTCGTTAGCTTTTAGCTCATCTTTCAGCTGTCAACTCATCATTTTTCTGACCTGTTATATGCTCTTATAACACCACATAAACTCTGCTCTGTAAGACTTATGGCCAGTGAAATTTTATGCTTATTTCTATGCTGGTTCCCCCATTGAAGCTCCTTGAATGTAGAAACTTTGGGTCTATTTCTGCTTCACATGGTGTTGCTAAAACCTTGCACACTGGCCTATAGTTATACTCTCAAATTAGTTACTGAAGGAATATGTAGGAACGAATGAAAATATGCTTGACATCAGATCTATCACCAAGTTCAACTGATGTCAGCTCCAAAATATCTCCAGGACCCATTTGTTCCTCTTTGTCTTCCTTGCTGGTCCAAGCCACCATCATCTCTGGTCTCAACTACTAAACAACGTCCTCACTGGTCTGCAGACGCCCCCTCTTTTTCCTCTCCAGTGTCCTAACAGCAGGCAGACTGATCTTTTAAAAGTCCAAACAATATGCTACTCCTCTGTTCAAAATTATTCCAAGTCTTTCCTTTGTTCTCAGAATAGAACCCAAGCATCTTACCACTCTCACCCTCACTGACTACCCACCGAACTACACTGGCCTCATTTCTGTTCCTCAAACATGCAAGCCGTTTCCAACTTTCAGGCTTTAGCACTTACTGCTGTTTATATGATTCATTGTTATTTTCCAGGGCTCAGCTAAGATTACATACAGATATTCCCTGACTGCAGTGTTAAAAGTAATCTCCCTTGGCCACATTCATCACTGTTTACCTCCCTAACAGCAGGACTACAGTCTAAAGTTCTTTTTAAATGGACTTGTTTATGCTCCGTATGTGCTTTCCAGGTGATGCCAGTGATAAAACAAACAAACAAAAATGCCACCTGCTGAGTGGCAGGCAACGGGTTCCATCCCTAGGAGGGGATGATCCCCTGGAGGAGGGCACGGCAACCCACTCCAGTATTCTTGCCTGGAGAATCCCATGGACAGAGGAGCCTGGCCAGCTACGGTCCATTGGGTAGCAAAGAGTCAGACATGACTGAAGTGACTTAGCTCATGCTCCGTATCCCCCATTAGAATGTCAGCTCCATGAAAGCAGATGTCTTGTTTATCCTGGTCACCGTACTCCCAGCAGATAGGGTTGTACTCAGTGTTCAACCGGTAACTGAATCATCTTCCAGTGCCAGCTTCCAAGATGGATCCCCGTGATTCTTGGCCTCTGGTGGTATCCATGCCCTAGGGTCCAACTCCCCTCCCACACTGCTTTAGGGCTGACTGTAATATGACCTTCAAGTTCAAGCCATAAAAGATGTAGCAGTTCCCATCTTCATCTCAGATTACTCATTCTAGGGGAAGATAACTGTCACACCATAAGGATCCTCAGCACGAAAGAATCAAGACCCCAATCCCCAAGTAGCCTGTGACAACCACGTGAGCCGTCATGCTTGACAACTATATGAGTGAACCACCTTGAGGGTGGATCCTCCAGCCCCTGTTGAGCCTTCAGATGATGAAGCTTTCACTGTCACAGACTACTACCTTGAGAGAGACTCTGAGCCAGAACTGCCCACCTGAGCAGTTCTCAAACCCTCACCCACTGAAACGATGAGAGGTATTAATAAAAATCATCATTATTGATGTTTTAGGTTCCTAGGTTTTGGAATGGTTTGTTACTCCACAATAGAAAACTAACATACACTCAATGAGTAATCAACAGAACCCTGAATATTTCAACATAAATTATCTCTTGAATCGGTCAGGCTTCAAACCTCACTAAGTAGGGAATGACCCTAGGCCACACTTTCAAGTACCATATTTTCCATATTTCTATCAGAGGCTTTAACAATCTTGCAGTACAAGTGGGAGGCTGTGCAATTAGCTTTAATTGCTCTCCTGTGAATTCTTTATTCGGTACGGTCTTTTCTTTCACCTGAGGCTCTGCCATATGAGTCTTCCCATTTCCCATGAAACTTCCTCAGTTCAATTTAAGAGCAAGTTTTGGGAGTGTGACATCTCTGCACATGACCTAGACTGATGACTTAGCAGCTGCTTGCTGAACAGGTTTTTAAGTCTCTAAGCCTCTGTTTCCTGTTCTGCTAAACAGAATTAGTAAAACTATCTACTTTGTGGGGACAATACGACTCATTGCAACGGTGAGTGTGACACACATGAGTAAATCACTTAGCACACCTTGGGCACAAGACAAATATTTTAAATTTTAGCAATTATCCTAAAATGCGGACTTTGAACCTCTGTTTTACAGACAGAAATGTTCAGAAAAGTCGAGTGTCCTGCCCGACACCACACAGCTGGGATGTGCCAGGCGTAGCACTCTAAGGCCTCAATTCTGCTCACTGCCTCGCACTGCCCCATCCATGGTTCTGCCACCGCCTCCCAGCTGCTCTTCTCACCTGCTGGCTGTATCTTCTCCTGCCCGTGCTAAGCAGTCCGACAGACTGATGCTAAGCTAACCATCCGACAGAGGATGCTAAGCTAACATCCTCTGAAGCTGATTGGGTTGCCCCCTTGACTCTGATCCTATAAAGGCTCTGATTATGCAAATTCAACTTTCCAGGCTCCTGTAGCTCCTCTTCAGTTCCAGGTACTCTCGCCCACTCTGCCAATCTGCATTTTGCTTCCCACTTCTGTTCTACCTTGCTCAGTCAGGCCTGGCCCTCTTGGGGTTCCTCCCTGCTCTCCTACCCCGCCCCTGCATAAATCTACCCCTTCTTCTCATCCACTGCCTCTGGTATGTCCCCCTGTCTCTTTTTCTACCTGCAAATCTTATCCATCGAGGTGAAGCTTAGTTCCCCACTGGTGCATTCTGCTTTCCTGGCTGTTTTAGGCCCCAGTGATCTCATCTTTCTACTGCTGCTCCTCTATTTGGTACTTTTTCCCAGGGGGCTCAGCAGTAAAGAATCTGCCTGCTAATGCAGGAGACTCAGGTTTGATCCCTGGGTCAGGAAGATCCCCTGGAGAAGGAAATAGCAACCCACTCCAGTCTTCTTGCTGGGAAAATTCCATGGACAGAGAGCCCAGGTGGGCTACAGTCCATGGGGTTGCAAAGACTCAGATATGACTTAGAGACTCAACCGTAGCAGCAGCAACCTCTGATGGGTTCATTATTGCCTCATCTTCCCAGTCAGATTGTGAGCTTCCTGAGGCTGAGATCATAGTCTGGACTTTCTGTTACCTCCTCCCATGGCACTTAGCCTGGGTGTTTTCTTTGCTAAATATTCACCTGATTCTATAGGTTTGGAAAGAATTAGGAATTGTCTTTTAAAATAAGCAAGAGAAACTTCCTGTTCCTGTCTAACAAGACTTCCTTATAGCAGAGAAATGGTAAAGAAGTGTTTGCCATCACTTTGGAAACTAGAGGCGATCTAGATTCACTCATACAAAGGAAATAGATTTCACACTCAGTCAGCCTCCAAAAACTGCTTCTACACGGATGGGAGCCCCACTGGTGCTTCCGAACCACCCCTTCTCTTTCCCAATTCCACGTCAGCCCGAGGTAGTGTCTTCTGCCCGAAGCCGACTTTCTTTAACACAACCCTCCCAAGGTCCCCTGATTCCTACCACTCCATACCTCCTCCTCCAATGACCTATCTCAGCCTTCACCCTCCTCCCTATCCCCTCAGCTCCCTATTCCCTCATCTCCCTCTTTCCTCAGGCTGCAAACTTCTCTCACCACCCAGAACCCAGATTAGCCTGCTTTCAACTTCTTATCCCAACTCGCCCTGTCACTCTCTGGCCCCAATCCCAGCTTCATCCATCACCACCCCTGTGCCTGGCTCCACTCCCCGAGATCTGCCTGGTTCTGCTGGGTTCCCGCTCTTCTCAATTGCTGTTTTTTCCTGTCCCCTTGTGACTGAGTCCCAGCCCTGCTCTGGCATTCCATCAGGGCTGCAGCTCTTTGTTCAGGGGAGAAAAAAGGGGGGGCAAATTCTTCCCATTCCCCATCCCATTCCTCTCACCATCCTTCTACTAGTTTTGTTATTTTTAATTTTAAGATTTAAAAAAAAGTGGCTCATTTTAAAGAAAACTGTTGAATAGATAGTAGTACAGTGATGCTCAGCTATGACAGAAGTAAAATAGCTTAAAGGTCTAGCACAGACCTTCGGCTAGGGCTGAGTTCTGTGTCTGAAATGACCTGGGTCTGGGTTTTGCTTCTATTTCCTGTGACTTGGGGCTGTCTCTGCAACTTGGTCACTGTAAAGTGGGGGAAATAATAGCATTTACTGCAGAGAGCTGTTAGAAGGACCAAATATATGCTCACCAAATATAAGAGCCCCAGAAGTGTTGGGGTTCATTCGTTTAGAAAGTCTGTCAATGGAACAATCGATGCTGTGACTAAAAAAGTGTCAGTGATTACAGGAATACAGTCAAGTTCAAGGTCATATCCACGTGTATTCCCCAGGGTCATATCTGTGGAGGGCCTTGGCCCCTCAGCACTCACACACGGGCTGCAGCATGGAGAAATACTACAGAGGGAACTTAGAATTTTTGAAACATACCTGAAAATATTAAATAATTGTCATAAATCCATTTAAAATAGAATGAAAGGAGGAAGATCCTCTCAACAGTATGTTTAGGCACAATAACAAATTTGTCGAGTGACAAGGGGGCTCCGAGGAGTGGTCAGACTTGAGCCTGCTTTGTACCAAAGACATTTATGAATTTTCAGTCTTAAAGTCTCCTGTACGAGGAAAAGAAGGATGTAGTCCAGGGGCAGCTCTCTAAATTCTTCTTCCTGCACCAGACACAAGGGAATACCCCTCCCTGCCAATGTGACTGGTCCCAGACATGCTCCCTGAGACAGCAAGCCCACAGGAGATGCTCAAATGTGGCCCAGGCAAAGTTGCTCTCAGACAGTGAGAACCCTTGATCTGACTTACCCATCTTGTAAAATGGCAAAGAATAGTCTCTTTGGTAAGAGGTTTCTTTATACCATGGTTCGGCAGGCTTTGAACGTCTTCGAAAATTGATATAATGAATGAGAGTTTGTTGGTCTAATTGAGGCTGATACTGACTTTTCTTCTTAGATGGAATTTCCAAGTCTATGAGAGGTCTAAATGAAAATAGAAACAGCTTGCTAAATACCCACCCAGTAGAAGAAAAGCATTTCATTTTCTCATCAGCTGAAATCCATTCCCTAAAAGTGGCCCAGAGGCTACCAAGATAGTATTGACAAGACTCTGTAACTCCAAGGTGAGCTCTAGCAAACTTGTCAGTAGATGGTTCAAGGATTCCAGACCCCTGTTCTTCTCTTTAACATCCCTCCTCCTTTCTAATCACAGGTCATAGAAGGTGACCTGCATCAAAACTTCCTCTGGATCTGTTCAGGCATGGCTACTTCCCAGTGCCCTTTTGAAATGTAATTTTTGTATGCATATTTAGTTCCCTCAAGGAACTAGTGCTTTATTTTGACCAGACTAACCGCTTTGGTGCATACTGGTGTTTGGTGAGCCTGAAACTAATTATAACCTCCAGATGAGTATAATGTGAGCTGTGAGCTTGTCATACATGGAATTTATTATGTTGAAGTATGTTCCCTTCATGCCCAGTTTGTTGAAAGCTTTAATCATGGTGCTCAACATCACTAATCATTCAGTTCAGTTCAGTTCAGTTCAGTTGCTCAGTCATGTCCAACTCTTTGCAACCCCATGAATCGCAGCATGCCAGGCCTCCCTGTCCATCACCAACTCCCAGGGTTTACTCAAACTCATGTGCATCGAGTCAGTGATGCCATCCAGCCATCTCATCCTCTGTCGTCCCCTTCTCCTCCTGCCCCCAATCCTTCTCAGCATCAGGGTCCTTTCCAATGAGTCAACTCTTCACATGAGGTGACTAAAGTATTGGAGCTTCAGCTTCAGCATCAGTCCTTCCAATGAACACTCAGGACTGATCTCCTTTAGGATGGACTGGTTGGATCTCCTTGCAGTCCAAGGGTCTCTCAAGAGTCTTCTCCAACACCACAGTTCAAAAGCATCAATTCTTTGGCACTCAGCATTCTTTATAGTCCAACTCTCACATCCATACATGACTACTGGAAAAACCATAGCCTTGACTAGATGGACCTTTGTTGACAAAGTAATGTCTCTGCTTTTTAATATGCTGTCTAGTTTGGTCATAACTTTCCTTCCAAGGAGTAAGCGTCTTTTAATTTCATGGCTAATCATTAGGGAAATGCAAATCAAAACCACAATAAGATATCACCTCATACCTGTCAAAAAGGCTGTCATCAAAAAGACTAAAAATGACAGGTAGTAGCAAGGATGTGGAGGGAAAAAAAGTCCTCATGCACTGTTGATGTGAATGTAAATTTGTTGCATCTACTATGGAAAGTGGTATGGAGATTCCTCAAAAAAAATAAAAATAGAACTATCATATGATCCAGCAATTCCACTTCTGTGTGTTTATCCAAAGGAAACAAAATCGCTATCTCTAAAAGAGATATCCGCTTTCCCATCTTCACTACAGTATTATTTACAATGGCCAAGACATTGAAATAATCTAAATGTCCATTGATGAGTGAATGGAAAAAAATGTGTGAAATGTATATACTATGAAATACTATTCAGCCTAAAAAAGATGAATAGCCTGCCATTTGTGACAACACAGATGAGCCTCGAGGACATTATGCTAAGAGGCAAAGAAAGACAAATACTGTATGATCTCACTTTTATGTGGAATCTAAAAAAACTGAACTCATAGAAACAGAAAACAACATAGTGATTGCCAGAGGTGAGGTTTGGGGCCTGGGGGAAATGGATGAAAATGGTCAAAAGATACAAACTTCCAGATATAAAATAAATAAGTTCTGGGAACGTAATGTACTGCATGGTGACTATAGTCAACAATGCTCTATTGTATATTTGAAAGTTGCTAAGAGAAAAGTTCTTACCACAAAAAAAATTGTAACTCTATGAGGTGATGGATATATATAAACATTATAGTAATCATTTTGCAATATGTACAGGCTTCCCTGGTGGCTCAGCTGTAAAGAATCAGCCTGTCAATGAAGGAGATGCGGGTTCAATTCTTGGGTTGGGAAGATCCCCTGAAGAAGCAAATGGCCACCCACTCCAGTATTCTGGCCTGGAGAATCCCATGGACAGAGGAACCTGGCAGACTGCTGTCCATGAGGTCCCAAAAGTTTGGACATAACTTAGCAACTGAACAGGAACAATGACATATATAAAATCACTATGCTGCGTACTTTAAACTAATAAAATGTTATGTATATAAACTATATCTCAATAAAACTGGGCAAAAAAAGGGTTTCAAAATACCATTTCATTCTATTTTGTGTAGATCAGGAGGATTCTACATATTATCTATCTCTGGGTAATGACATTATGGATAATTAAAAAAATTCTGATTATCAGTGTTTTCAAATGTTTTAATGAATATGTGTATTTTTGAACTGTAAAGTAGAGAAGGTGAGCTACTAGAGATGTCAAAAAGATTAAATGTTGGGTGAGACTTAAGAACATCCTAATCCAATCATTTTGAGTAGGATGTCGTCTTACTTGATGGTATAACCGTAATTAATCACACTGAAACGGGTGACTGACACTACTTAATCATAATGCATTATGTTTATATACTTTGGTAAAACTTGATTGTGATGTGCCTTCTTTAAAGAGAAGAGTTTGTTAGCAGCAATGGGATGCCTCCGCCTGAAGTTCAGGAAAAGAAAGAGCAAGACTCTAACTATGTCTGGACAGTGGAGCGATGCTGGATGCACGGGAGATGTTCTGTTGAGGACAGGTGTGGAGAAGCACCAAGAATTCCTTCCCACCTCGACTTGCTGTTGTTTTGTGCTTAAAAGTTTCTTGGTCCTAGAAAGTGGGTACATTACATGATGGGTGGAAGCACTCCTTTTCCTCTGAAAGCTTGTTTCCTGATGTCAAGCAAAACATTTGCTTTCTGATGAATGGGTCAGTCTCTTGTAAGTTTGTGTTCTGCCTGTTACTGTCATCTGGTTACTTTTGTGCCACTGACAGCTATGGATGGCTCCCGAACCAGATCCTGGTGATTGCTACTACACCCACCCCTGCTAGACTGGCAGGCTGTTGTGACTTTGCCCTGGATGTTTCTATGGAACCAGAATCATCTCCATTTTCAAGAATACTGATGGTGTTCTGGAGACAAGACTTTTACTCAAAAAGGGGACTCTAATTCTGAAAATATCACATTGGTGGGAGAATATATCTGGGGAAGTTAAGCCATAGGCTTCTGTCTGTTTAAATTATGAGTATAAAGACAAGAAGTTAGGCCTGGTCCTAATAATTGCATGATTTCCTATCTTGTTTGTTTGTTTTGTTTTTGCTTGTCTTTTCCTTATTCTTAGCCAGAAGTTTAATAAAGTCGTTGGTTGACAAAACATTGACTGAGTTTTTCCCCTAAGACTAATCTTAGGCAGGCTCAAGTCTTGTCAGAGTCAAGGTTCTCTTTGCCTGAGCATCCTGTGGTAGGAGGAGGGGCAGATAATGGAGCCAAGGGAACGGACAGAGTCCACAGAACACACGTGGAGAGTGCCCTGTGGAGCTGGCTTCTGGAAGAGGGTTTCAGTAGTTTCCTTCCTTGTTTATCCTCTGGCAGAGATCACTCTCCTAACAAGATTTTGGAATGCTCTGCAATTAAATAATTTTTAAATGGGGTTTGGGATCCTTGGAAAGTTTCAATAAAGAATTATTAATGAAAAAAAAATGTATTTGAGTTAGAACAAAGAACCTTGAACTGGGAATCAGAAAATGTGGATCAATTCATAACTCAGCTTTTACACCAACCAGCTACATGTCAGGCAAGACATGTCATGTCTCTGGCTACATCTTACTTGGGAATCAGAAAGTGTGGATCAATTCATAACCCAGCTTTTACACCAACCAGCTACATGTCAGGCAAGACATGTCATGTCTCTGGCTACATCTTATTTATCAAGTTGAATCAGAATTTTAAAAGCTAAAGCTACTTCCAGTTTGATCATCTATTAAGTTTAGTCTGTGTGCTACTTTGTTGTTGCTATGGCTCCCTTTTCTTTACTTGAAGAATAATCAGGAGTTGATGATATCAAAGGCAATTAAGAAAAGAAAAGAAGTTTCTAAAATATACTATGATGATGAACTCAAAATAATAGCAATTGTATTTTAAGTGCTTACTATGTTCTGGAATTTTATATCAATTATTTTATTTAACAAGTAAGCCAATTGATATTCAGAATGGATGAAAACTGCCTAAAATCAAAGATTTCATAAGTTACTCAAATTGATGTTTCTAACTGGATCATGGAAAAAGCAAGAGAGCTCCAGAAAAACATCTATTTCTGCTTTATTGACTATACCAAAGCCTTGACTGTGTGGATCACAATAAACGGTGGAAAATTCTGAAAGAGATGGGAATATCAGACCACCTGACCTGCCTCTTGAGAAATCTGTATGCAGGTCAGGAAGCAACAGTTAGATCTAAAGGAGATCAGTCCTGAGTGTTCATTGGAAGGACTGATGCTGAAGCTGAAGCTCCAATACTTTAGTCACCTCATGTGAAGAGTTGACTCATTAGAAAGGACCCTGATGTTGGGAAAGATTGAAGGCAGGAGGAGAAGGGGACGACAGAGGATGAGATGGTTAGATGGCATCACCGATTCAATGGATATGAGTTTGGGTAAACTCTGGGAGTTAGTGATGGACTGGGAGGCCTGACATGCTGTGGTTCATGGGGTCGCCAAGAGTCGGACATGGCTAAACGACTGAACTGAACTGAACTGAACAGCCTCCCAAAACTAGAAAATAGCACTAAAGTGCCTGCTTTTTTCCCCTTTCTGTTAAAATCACTGCAGAAAGGCAGAAACTGGTTAGGCCAAATTTGTGATTTTATTGAGAAGGAAAATGAGTGTCAGGAAGATTAAGTTATTTGAGTTAAGATGTTAAACTAATGATATTTCTTACATTCCTTTGATGATTTAAGTAATTTTATATTTACTGTTAATTATAAAAGTAGTATATGTTCATCATAGAAAATCTGGAAAATAGAGAAAAAGATAAAAAATGAAATACAAATATCAATAATTTCACTATTCATGAAAAGCCAGTGTCAACAGTTTGCTGTATTTCCTTCCAAATTTTTGTATCCATTAAACAATAATTATTATTTTTATTATTATCATTGCAAATTGTGATTCCCAGCTTTTCATTTATTAGTCTAACTTTAGTGAAATTATTGTATATTACGATTCAGGAAAGTGTCTTACCTGGGAGATCTCTTCACACTATAATCATAATGGAGTCTTGCCAGCTGCCCAGTGTAATAACCACGGAGATCTTTTCCTTGGTGAACAATGAATATACTAGTGGGGACAGGAAGGAGAATGAGAGAAAAGGAATTAATATGACTAGCTTTTTACAGAGGAAAACCAGCTGTGGTATAGTAAAAAATATATTCAGTCTCTACCCTCACTTCCTGGCACAAAGGTCCTAAAACCCTTGGAATCTCTTGATAGGAGTGTCTTTTGTTACACATTTTTCAGGATTCATAAAGAAATATTTGACTTGTCAGGTATTAGTTTCAAAATATCAAGAAAAAAATAAGGGAATATATAAGGCCAGTGGGGCAAATGTTGATAATTACTGAAAGACAGAAATGGATAAGTGGAGATTCTTTATACTATTCTTTTCTACTTTTGATATTTTTATGAACTTTCACAGTATTTAAAAAGAAACTCTAACAATTAAATATATTTAGGGGCTAAAAATGAAGAAGCACTGTAAAGGTCAAAGCACAAGTTACTTGCAAGCCTGGAGGAGGGGTTCCAGCCTTGCCTGGGTGGGTTGGGCTGTGAGGGTGTTTGGAAATACAAGCGTAAGTGAGAAAAGTGGAGAGCAGCGGGAAGTCTTCTGGGGCATGAGATGAGCTGGGTGTGTAGAGCTGAAACAGAGCAGTGTCGGGAGGAGCCAAGGGCTCATGGTGCCCAGATCTTACATTTTGAAATACATCTTCTTTATAATTAATTACTTTTCTTTTAGATGATTGTTATAGCATAATGTTGTTGTTGTTTAGTCACTAAGTTGTATCCAACTCTTTTTTGACCCCATGGACTGCAGCTCACCAGGCTCCTCTGTCCATGGGATTTCCCAGGCAAGAATACTGGAGTGGATTCCCATTTTTTTCCTCCAGAGAATCTTCCCAACCCAGGGATCAAATCCGTGTCTCCTGCATTGGCAAGTGGATTCTTCACCATTGAGCCACCGGAGAAGCCCTACAGCATTATACTGACATCCTAAAATTATATGTAGTTGTATTATGTTATTTACAGATTTTATTTCAGGAGAGTAGCAGGGACATTACAAAATATTTATTATAAACCAATGGAGTGTGTCATCTGAAAAACAGAACCATTGATATAGGTAATAGGGAACCGTTGTAGGATTTTAAAGAAAATCCATGATGAATGCAATTTTTGTTGAAGAGAGATTCTGCTGGTGGCAATGTGGAAAACAAATCTGAAGACAATCTGACTAGAAGTACAAAGACTGATCAGGAGGTAATCATAGCAATGTATGTGGGACGTAGGGAAGCTTTGAACTCTGTGGTAGAAAGTTCACATGGGGAGGAGAGGCCTAAGATGACTGCTAGGAGAGAGGGTTGAGGATGAAAGAAGGAGCACACCAAGGCTTCAGCACAAGACAAGGCTTCAGATGTTGGGAAACAGGCTGCCATTCACCAGGAGACAGAGCGCAGGAAAGCGACCCTTCTTGAGATGATGACTGTAGAGTTTGTGGTATGTGGGGTCTTTGGCGACCTTCCACAGGTTCTTACTCGGTAGGTGCCATAAGAATTCAAGAAGAGTCAGTAGAAGGTACTATATAGTTTTGCATGGAGTAACTCATCAAGTCCGTGCTGAATGATGAATGGAAACTTAAGCTATGTCTCCAGTTTGACCAGAATTTATTAACTATGCATAATGTATCCTACAGCGAGCAAAACCATCCCAAAGAAAAAGAAAAGCAAGAAGGCAAGGTGGTTATCTGAGCAGGCTTTACAAATACCTGAAGAAAGAAGAGGAGCAAAAAGCAAGGGAGAAAGGGAAAGGTATATCTAACTAAACGCACCTTTCCAAAGAACAGCACAGACAAGAAGGCCTTCTTCAATGAACAGTGCATAAAACTAGAAGAAAACAGCAAAAGGGGGAAGACTAGAGATCTCTTCAGGAAAATTGGAGATATCAAGGGAACATTTCGCCCAGAAATGGTAGAAACCTAGTAGATGCTGAAGAGATCAAGAAGAGATGGAAAGAAAACATGGAAGAACTGTACAAAAAAAAGATCCTAGTGAACTGCATTGCTACAGTGGTGTGGTCAGTCGCCCATAGCCAGACTTTCTGGAGAGCAAAGTCAAGTGGGCCTTAGGTACTAGTGTTAATAAATCTAGTGGATGTGATGGAATTCCAAAAGAACTATTCAAAACCTTAAAGGATGATGCCATCAAGGTGTTGCCTTCAATATGTCAACAAATCTGGAAGACCCAGTAGTGGCCACAGGACTGGAAAAGGTCAATCCTAAACCCAGTTCCCAAGAAGGGTGGTACTAAAAAATGTGCTAACCATCACACAATTGCACTCATCTCCCGTGCTAGTAAGGTTGTGCTCAAAATCTTGCATTCTAGGCTTCAGCATTATGCCAACCAAGAACTTCCAGATGTCCCAGCTGGGCTTAGAAAAGAAAGAGGAACCAGAGATCAAATTGCCAACATTTATTGAATCATAGAGACAGCTAGGGAATTCCAGAAAAACATCTATCTCTGTTTCATCAACGATACCAAAACCTTTATTGTGTGTGTGGATCATTATAAAGTGTGGCAAGCTCATGAGGTGATGGAAATACAAGACCATCTTACCTGTCTCCTGAGAAACCTGTATGGGGGTCAAGAAGTAACAGTTAGAACCCTGTATGGAACACATGTTTAGTTCAATATTGAGAAAGGAGTATGATAGGGCTGTCTGCTGTCACCCCGTTTGTTTAAACTATATGCTGAGCACATCATGAAAAATGCTGGCCTGGACGAGTTACAAGCTGGAGTCAAGATAGGCAGGAGGAACATCAACAACCTCAGATATGTGGATGATACCACTCCAATGGCAGAAAGCAAAGAGACACAAAAGCGCCTCTTGATGACGGTGAAGGAGGAGAGTGAAAGAGCTGGCTTAAAACTAAATATTAAAAAAACTAAAACCATGGCATCCGGCCCCATTACTTCATGGCAAATACAGGTGAAAGTAGTGACAGATACCCTCTTCTTGGGCTATAAAATCACTGTGGATGGTGACTGCAGCCATGAAAGCAGAAGACGAATGCTTCTTGTCAGGAAAGCCATGACAGACATAGTATGTTGGAAAGCAGAGACATCACTCTGCTAACAAAGGTCCGTATAATCAAGGTATGGTCTTCTCAGTGGTCACGGATGGTTTTAAGAGCAGGATGGTAAAAAAGGCAGAGCACCAAAGAATTGATGCCTTAGAACTGTAGTGCTGGAGAAGACTCTGGGGAGTCCCTTGGATAGCAAGGAGATCGAACCAGTCAGTCTTAAGGGAAATCAACCCTGAATGCTCATTGGAAAGACTGATGCTGAAGCTGAAGCTCCAGTATTTTGGTCATCTGATGCAAACAACTGACACATTGGAAAAGTCCCTGATGCTGGGAAAGATTGAGGGCAGAAGGAGAAGAAGGTGTCAGAGGACGAGATGGCTGGATGGCATCACCGTGCAGTGGACATGAACTTGAACAAACTTTGGGAGATGGTGAGGGCAGAGAGGCCTGGCGTGCTGCAGTCCATGGGGTTGCAAAGAGTCGGACACGACTAGGTGACTGAATAATGACAACAATATTCCCTGCACACTACTAGGCTCTGCAGATACGAAGCTGACTCAAAAGCAGTCCTTGTCCTAATCCTGCTCTTTATGTGCTGAAATCATGATCTGAATAAAGGGTCAGTGGGGCAGAAAAGAGGAAGGGCTGTCTAGGGTTTGAGCAAGGTAGTAGGAGAGGGAAGAGATTCCAGGTGAGGGAATGATAGGACCCAACTCTCAGACAGAGTTGTGATCAGAGTGGAGTGTGTGAGGGCCAGTGGGGACTTTGCTGTCTAGCTGGTGCAAAAGGCAAGTGCTCTCAGCAGGGCGGGTCTGCCTGTCTGTGCAAACAGGGCCTCAGGGAGCTCTGATTTTCAGAAAAACCACAGTCCGTCTGGGCCTGCCCAGTGGCTGGGATAATATGACTGAGCCCTGAATGGTAAATAACAGCAGGGGATTAGGTCGTAAGAGGAAAGAAGAACTGGCACAATGATAGGGAACAATGACATTCTTGAGGGCATGGGAGTGGGAGACACAGCTTTCTTAGGTGCTTGTCCGGTTTCCAAGCCCCACCTTGGGAAGATCACCCCACTGGAGGCTCTGTGAAGTATCCAGCTGGAGTTCCAGAACAACACTGATTTCTCACGGTTGCTCTACCATTTGCGCTAGGCTGTGTTTTGACTCTGGGTTCCTCCTGGGCATGAGTCCGGGTGAGCAGCCTAAGCACTGCTCCTAGAAATGGTCTGTACAAACCATCTGAGCCTGGAGAAGCCCCTCACCAGCACCAGGTTATGTGCCCACCCCAAGTCCCTCGGGAGTCTCCCTGGGTAGCTTTTTAATTCTTATTTTTTTAATTTGTTTTATTTTGGTTGCAACACGCAGCATATGGGATCTCAGTACCCTGACCAGGGATCCCACCTGCAGCCCCTGCAGTGGAAGCAGAGAGTCTTAACCACCAGACCCCCAGGGAAGTCCCTCTCCGGGTAGCTTTTGAAGTGGAGAGAGTAGGAAAGTGTGTAAGCAGGTGGGTGTTGGAGGCAAGGCTGGGTGGGGTTGTGGTCATTTGAGGAATGAAGGCGTGGTATGCTTTTCTTCCACCTCTTTGGGTAGACTTTCCAAGGTCCCCCCCGTGATCTTCACCTCAGAGAGGAGAAAGCTCTAGATGAAGAGGGTAACATGTCAGCGGTTTGGAAGAGAATTTTTATCTCCTAAGAGATAACGCCTGGCCTGGCCCGGCAGTCGATGCCCCCAGAGGCCGCACAGTACCCAGCCTCTCCCAAGGAGGGGCTGGGTGTGAGGAAAAAATCGATTAATGAGTAGGAAAGCAGGGCTGGCCTCCAGACCTGGTCTGGGAGCCCTGCCCTGGACTCTGCTCAGACCCACTTTATTGACTTGGCTTGTAAGATTCTTGAGTCAGCTGTAGAAAGGCCTTTTCTCCTCCCTGGGTGGGAGTAGGAGTCCAGGGACAGTATTTACCAGTGCCTGACAGTGTGGCTCTTTGAGGTAACACATTCAGTCTAGACAAGAGCAAACCCGTTCCCCGGGAGGGTGAATGTAACCAGAGCAGGACCTGGGCTTCCCCGCAGGCAAAATTCAACACCCAAAGGGGAGGATCCCTCTGGGGCCTGAGGTAACCCAGGCCACTGTGATGGTGTAGCCCTATGTCTGTGCTGGGCCTCATCATTACAAAGCTTCGCAGAGATGATCTCATCTAACTCTCACAGTCCTGTTGCTAGGTAAACATTGTTAACACCCTGTTACAGAAAAAGAGACCAAGGCTCACAGAGGTTAAGTGGGCTTTCTAAATAACACCCAGCTGATAAATGCCAGAGACATGAGTCAAACCCAGTTCTCTGAACTCCATGTCGCATCCAGAGTCATCTCTGTTTGTGCGATGACTTTTTGAGAAGAGCTCAGTGTTACTTTTGTGTGAACTCTGTGATTCATTGTGGGCAGACAGGAAGTGGATGTCCTGTACCAAAGCAATAGGAAGAGAAATAGACCCCGCAGTGTAACTGGAGGCTGCTTTCGGTTCAGGAGAACCGGTGCTTACTGCAGGCTCTGACGTGTGCTGGATGCCAGGGCTACAGTAATGAGAAACACTGTCTTTCCACCTGGGAGTTCATAATCAGGTAAGGAAAACCCTCCTCAGGCCCACTCATGTAGAGTGGGGATAAGTGCTGCACCAGTCAGGAAACAAAGGCTCAGGGGGAATAAGTCTCTTACTGAGGACAGGAGCTGATAAGGACAGAAGATGGGAGACCAGCATTCCCACATCCTCATGCTTTCACTCCCCAGACTTTACTGGCTTCACAAATCTCAAGGAAGAGGGAGCCTCAGTTTTCTCATCAATAAAATGGGGTGGGGAGGGCTTCCCTGGTGGCTTAGTCGTAAAGAACCTATCTGCCAATGCAGGAAGCACAGGTGTGGTCCCTGATCTGGAAAGATCCCACATGTTGCAGAGCAACTAAGCGAGCTACAACTAGTGAGCCTGTGCTCTAGAGCCCAGGAACCGCAACTACTGAGCCCGCGTGCCCTAGAGCCCACGCTCTGCATCAAAACAAGCCATGGTAATGAGGAGTCTGGGTACTGCAACGAGCAAAGAGAAAAGCCTGCATAGCCACAAAACCCCAGCACCGCCAATAATACATAAATCGATAAATGAAATTTTTAAAAAATTATAAAAATAAAAAGTGGGGGTGATGCTATCTCCATTAATGACTACATGAGAATCAACAAGATATGTGTGAACGTCCTTGGTGACTGAAGTATCTCATAGGTGTTGCCATCTATCATTTGAGGCAGGATGATCTGACCTTCACAGCTGCCCCTTGATGTCTCAGAGATCTTGTCAGTCGATGTTTTTAAAGTTCATTTAAGTCCAACACAAATTCTTTGTCTTTTGCACACCACAGTGAGTTTAATCCAACCTAAGTAATCTTTCCAGGAGCATCCTAGTCCCCACAATTCAACACAATACTCAGTCCTGCACCTGAGTGAGAAGGCTAGTATAATTTGTATCTAATGTAATTCTTTTACGAGAATTTTGTGTGGTCACTAGTACTTGTAAATCACTTAATATTTAACTTTATGAGGTGCCCCTACTGGTTTGTAATTCAGTTTTCCCTACTATAGCCCAAGGGTTAGGCATTTAAGGATGAATTAATTGGGTAAATGCTTACAGAGAGGAGAAGCAGAGAGCAGACTTTCTGTCAATACTGTCAATCACCAGGAAGCCAAACCTCAAACACATGCCAGAATGAGTTTTTCTCATTGATTCATTCATTTTCAGTTTTCCAACAAAGGTGCGCAGAGGTCCTAACAAGTGTGGCAGTCTGCTAGGCAGAGTGGCCTATGAAACAAGCCCCGCCCTGGGGGCTGACCCAGAGATGTCAAGGGCAGTGACCTAGAGTACAGATGTTGGCTTCAGACCAGCAGGTTCAAATGCTACTTCTGCTAGTTCACGACTGTGGAATCTGAGGACAGTCACTTAACCCCTCCTTGCCTCAATTTCCTCCCAGTCACTGTGAAGATTAAATGAGTTAATATATACTTAGAACAGTGCCTGTCACATATTAAGGAGTGTTAAAGGGTTAACTATTATTCCAGTGGGTGATCTAGATAGGAAATAAAGAAACAGAAAATAATTGAAAGTTATGATCCGAGTCATACAGGAAATCAAAAAAGGTGTGAGAGAGAGAACTGACAGAGGTGATGAGGTAGGTGGAAGGAGGACACCTCCCCCAGCCAGGATGGTACCAACTTCTCGTCACTGAGCAGCTGATAACAGTGGAGACATGCTGAGTGAAACGGGGCTGGTTGAACCAAGTAAAAAGAATAGCAGAGAGTTGAGAAGGCAATGATGTAGGGGAAAGGAGCATGTCCCAAAACCCTGAGACATGCAAAAGTGCGGGCCTACTGAAGGAACAGAAGAAAGATCACGGGGCTGGAGCTAAGAGGAGTTTGGAGAGATCAGCAGGGTCTGTTTGTGTATGGCTCTGCAGGCCCTGGCAAGTGTTGAGGCTTCATGCAAAATGCAGTAATTGCAGGGTTTGGTTTTTTATTTTTTGACTGTGCTAGGTCTTTGTTGTGACACTTAGGATCCCTAATTGTGGCGTTCAGACTTAGTTGCCCCGCAGCATGTGGGATCCTAGTTCTCTGACCAGGGATAAAAATCTGTGTGCTCTGCATTGGAAGGTGGGTTCTCAACCACTGGATGACAAAAAAGGTCCCAGATTGCACGGTTTTAGGCAATGGAAGGCTCTGATCCTGTTTATGTTTTGTGGGGTTCTCTCTGGAGAATGGATTGGAGGAGGACCAGAGTGGCCATTGTAGGTGAACAGGGGAGAGGCAATGGTGCTCTGGACCAGGTTGTGGCAGTGGAAATGAAGAAAAACACCCCAATGGAGATACATCCTAGAGGCAGAATTGAGGAGCCTGCTGATGGACTGGTCCACTATGTTGCAAGGCAGGAGAGACAGAAAATAGACAGAGACCTGGCCCATGGGGAGCACTCGGGTGGCGAGTGGGGGCCCCAGGCTAGTGCAGGCAGAGTGTGCCTCTGATGCATGAGCCCAAGAGAGCTGAATGCAGCCCAGCCTGAGGACATCAGTGGCCTGGCGCCTTCGGCTCTGTGTCCCACCCCAACCCTCCAGCTCCCCACGGGCTGCCTTAGGTCAGGCCCAGTGATTCTGACTTGGTTCCATTTAGCGCCAGGCGGCAGCAGCCAGTGGAGGATTGTCTCTGTTTTCCCCAGGAGATGAGACCACAATTAAACAGGCCCAACAGTGGTGGGCAAAAATCTCAAATACACACACGAAAAGCCAAGGGCATGTGGGGAGGCAGAAATCAAGTAATTCTGGAACCCACCCCTTTCTCTCCACCCTGCTTCTTCCACATGTGCGTTTCAGGGAGGGAAGGGTAGGCACTATACTTTCTCTAAAATAGGACTTTTTTTTAGAGGAAGAACATCTTTTTAAGAACAAAGCATCCTTTCCTTCCTCCTTCAGTGATTTCTGGAAGCAAAAGGACATATCTTTGATGACCAAACACTGTGGAAAATAACTAAGTACTAAAATTTGGAGTTGCCAGTTTGCTTGGATGCTGCCATAAATGTAGGATTTTTTTAAGAAAACAACTTTTTGTAAACCCAAAGAAACTTTAGTGGAATCTCTGGCAGCAGTTGTCTCTAAATCAGGGAGCAAGCAGCAGAGCGAATAATTCTAGTGTCCCAGGAGTCTGTCTTCTGTGCTGCAGCTCTGGAGGTGTCTGCATTTGGAAGACCATTACCTGGGTGGGATTGCTGGGCGGCGGTCAATAAATTCTCGTAGCCGGATGGCAGTCATGATGGATAAGATTCTGGAAAAAAAATTAAAATGAAGTTTCTTATTGCAAGTTTATACACATTTCCCAGGCATGACTACCTAGTACTACAAAGTCTGTCTTGAAAGTAGAAGGACCATTCTTAGCTTCTGCTAGACTATTTAGGGAAGGAAATAGACTCTTTTTTTAAAAAAAATTATTTATTTATCTATTTATTTATTTCTGGCTCTCTGCAGTTGTGGTGAGCAGGGGCTACTGTTCATTGTGCTGCGCGGGCTTCTCATTGTGGTGGCTTCTTTTGGTGCTGAGCACGGGCTCGTGGATGCTTGAGCTTCATTGGTTGCGGCATGTGGGCTCAATAGTTGTGACTTCTAGACTCTAGAGCACAGGCTCAGTAGTTGTGGCACTTGGGCTTAGTTGCCCTGCAGCACGTGGGATCTTTCCGGATCAGGGACCAAACCTGTGTCTTCCGCATTGGCAGGCAGATTCTTTACCACTGAGCCACCTGGGAAGCCCCAGGAAATAAACTCTAAAAGAAGCAAAAAGAAATGGAAAGCATAAGCCAATATACAGAGGCATGCTTTTCTTTAGCAGCAAAAAGTACGGTGTGAGTTGGGGACGTAGCCTCCTTTCTCACTCTTCTTGAGGTATCTTCCTGCTGCACTCACTTGTAGGCTAAGCACTGCATCTTCCACATGCCCTCAGGACTAGAGTTCTGGAAATGAGTTAAGATCCTCGAATCAGAGGTAATTGAGTGAGATTTGGAAGATGAAAATGAGACAGGGGCTAATTTCTGCTTCTTTGCCTTTTTCTACTGACGAAACTTGTTAAGACAATGTGATGTTTCTTTCTGCAGCAGAAACGCCAGTGTCCAGTCTCCAGCTTTGAGGGTATAAGAGGCAACGTGTTGAAGCAATGCTGAATGCTGTGTTTAGTGTTCAAACACCAGCTTCTTGAGGGCAGAGAGGCAGCCAGAGTGGCAGTGCTGTTAGCTTTGGGACCAGGTTCTTGAACTCAGTTGTCTGGAAGCAACTTCCTCATCAGGGCACAGGTAGCTGCTTTTATGATGGGTCAATTTCGTGAAGATGTTCTAGAAGCTTCCTGGAGGCCTTCCCCAGAGCATACTCTTGCAACACTTCCAATGATTTTGTAACCATCTCATTATTTACATTGAACTCTTTCTGTTTCCTTTGCTGGCTCCAGTTTAAACATATAATATATTATGTTTCTAGTCTAAAATTTCATTTTGCATCTGCTTATGTACTGGAGAGGACTTGCCATAGAAAACCACTGCATCTAAGTATTCACTTGAGAAAGAGTCTACAATGGGGAGGACGCTAAGTGTCTGGGGGGACAGAGGTGGGAGAAAGCCTTGTATTTTTACAGTTTACCCTTGGTGTACCTTGTGAATTTTGTACAAAGTGTATATATTATGTATATACAAAGACAGCTGGGACTTCAATTTGCATCAACATGGGGTAGCAGAAGAACATTGTACTGAGACCCATGTGGCTTGTGGTCAGTCTTTGCCTCCTCAGAGTGGAAATGTGTGTGAACAGTTGTGTCCTCCCTGAAAGTCATATATTGAAACCCTAACCCCAGTGTGATGGTATTTGGAGGGGGAGCATTTGAGAGGTGATTATCTCATGGGCATGGAGCCCTCGTGTATGGAACTAGTGCTCTTGTGAAGGAGACCTCAGAATTCCCTGGCTTTCTTTCTGCCATATGAGATTACAAGAAGTCTGCATCCTACAACCTGGAAGAGGGTCTCATCCGAACCCTACTGTGCTGGCGCCCCAATCTTTGACTTCGGCCTCCAGAAACGTGAGAAAGAAACTTCTATTGTTTACAAGCCACTCAGCCTCTGAAGCTTGTTACAGCAGTTTAATAGACTCGGGCACCAGCTAAGTACATTGATGATTATGATATCTTTATGGAGAGTTATGTGAGACAATGATGCATGTATGTTTTCTAACCTAAAAATCAGGTTGGAGAAAGGAGGCTATATGAGTTTCTATTTATGAACATGTATTAAGTGTTCAGTAACACGTATTAAGGAGCTTTCCTGGTGGCTCAGTGGTAAAGAATCTGTCTGCCAATGCAGAGGATACAGGTTCGATTCCTGGGTTGGGAAGACCCCCCTGGAGAAGGGAATGGCAGCCCACTCCAATATTCTTGCCTGGGAAATTGCATGGACAGAGGGGTTTGGCGGGCTAAAGTCCATGGGGTCACGAAAGAGTCAGATATGACTTAGCAACTAACTACCACCACCACCAACATGTATTAACTCCTATCAGCCTCCCAGTAATCCTATTAAGTGTTTATCACTACACTTTACTGACAAGAAAACTGAAATTCTGAGAAGTAAAGTAACTTCTGAGAATCCATGGTTAGACTCCTCTAGCTCCAGAAACAGTTGTCTTAACAACTGTGCTCTATCAACACAACCACGGGGCACCCTGACCATCAGCCAAAACAAAACTGGGATAATACAAAAGAAGCAGTAACCAGGAGGGAGGAAGAACTAGAAAAAAAGAGTGTGATACCTCCCTCTTTTCCTTGGATAACTTGTTGGCTTCTGTCCACAGGCCAGCTGGTTGCTTTACTTCACCTCTGTTTTTCAAGCAACTTGAAAAGTTTCAAACAAGATCATAATAGAACAGTTTGGCTATCCAACAGAATCTGTTCATTACGAAGAGTGTTTTTACCTTCAGCACTGGTGTGTTTATTTAAAAAAAGAAAAAAGAAGGCAGAAAGAATGAAAGAGAGAATCTGAGCAAACACAATTGAGCTCTCTCTTAAACTCAGAAAACATCACTGCTGGGATTTCAGTTCACTAGAAGTGACATGCTGGAGAAGAATGCAAGATATTTAGGACATTTGTGCTCCTAACCAAGACAACACCAAGTGTGCCTCTGATGATGGAGTGATTGCTCAGTGCCTAGAAATTCTGAATCAGCACCACAGGGAACATCAGTCCTGGGTGGCTGTGACTTAGCTATGTGGTAGAAACCCTTTCAGAGGAACAAATTAATAACTCACTTTGAGTCTAAGCCTAAGCTTCCAGAATAATCAGAAGACCTTGTCTGGGAGGGTGACCTTGCCATTTTACATCTTTAGAAAATGCCTCTATGATGCGTATAGGGCACCAAATCACATTTTGTGTGATTAGCTATCATCTCTTGAACACATAAGAAAATGTAGCTTGCAGTAGATATGTCAGTACATTTTATTTTAGTTAATCTTAAAAAATAGAGTCACCCACCAAATCAGAATGTGACTTATGTATGAACATATGATAAACATGCCATCATTTACAAACTCACAGCCAACACTGCACAACTGTTATTAGAGGCACCGTGAACAACATATCTTTTATCACCGTTAAAATATATAATTTCTTAGCTACTTTAATAGAAGATTCTCCTTCTGATGTGCCCTTAGTAAAATTCTTCCAGAACAAATATGAGTTCTGTCTATACTGTCATCCTACTTTTCATTCAAACTCATGTTAATTCTACAAAACCTTAAGCTTTTTTCTTTTTTTAAAAAACTGAAATACAATATGCTCAGTGAATAATTCTATAAAATAATATTAAAACCACACATAAAAAGCTATTTTAAATTTTTATATTTCATCTATGCATACACACACACACACACACACACACACACACACACATATATATATATGTGTATATGTGAGACTTCCCAGGTGGCTCAGTGGTAAAGAGTGTCCCTGCAAGCAGGAGACTCAGGCTGTATGCTTGCATTGGGAAGATCGCCTGGAGGAGGAAATGGCAACCCATTCCAGTATTTTTGCCTGGAAAATTCTATGTACAGAAGAGCCTGGTGGGCTACAATCCATGGGATCACAAAAGAGTCAGACATGACTTAGTGACTGACCAACAAAAAATGTGAATATTGTTTTCTTGGGCTCCAAAATCACTGTGAATGGTGACTGCAGCCATGAAATTAGAAAATGTTTGCTCCTTGGAAGGAAAGCCATGACAAACCTAGACAGTGTATCAAAAAGCAGAGACATCACTTTGCCAACAAAGGTTAAGCTAAAAACCATAGTTAGAGCTATGGTTTTTCCAGTAGTTATGTATGGATGTGAGCGTTGGATCATAAAGAAGGCTGAGTGCCAAAGAATTGATGCTTTTGAACTGTGGTGCTGGAAAAGACTTTTGAGAGTCCCTTGGACAGCAAGGAGATCCAACCAGTCAATCCTAAAGGAACTCAACCCTGAACGTTCATTGGAAGGACTGATGCTGAAGCTGAAGCTCCAGTACTTTAGCCACCTGATTCAAAGAGATGACTCATTAGAAAAGACCCTGATCCTGGGAAAGATTGAAGGCAGGAGGAGAAAAGGGTGACAGAGGATGAGATGATTGAATGGCATCACCAACTGAATGGACATGAGTTTGAGCAAACTCTGCGAGATAGTGAAGGACAGGGAAGCCTGGCATGCTGCAGTCCATGGGGTTGCAAAATAGTTGGGCATGACTTAGCAACTGAGCAACAACGTAAATAGCATATATACTTAAAAACTTGAATACACAGCAGGCATTCTCTTTCATATTTTTTGGTTTTCATTTAACAATATATTATGTTAAAATAATACAGTATATTAAAATTTTCCACACTGCTACAGAATAGTCTTAATTCTAATATTTAATGTTCTTTTGTGTTGTTTAGTGAGGCTCACCTATTACTCTATTTTAAACAGTATCCTGTTCACTCCCTGGACTCCTCATCCATGTTCTATGCTTGATTTTTCTCCAAAACCCTCATCACCATCTGCCATACCATATGTTTACTTAGGTATCTTGTTTATGTCTGTCTTCCCCATCGGAAAGAGAGCCTTGAATGTTGTGTTCACAGCTGTATCTCTAGGATCAAAGATGATAACTGACACTTGGTAGACATTTAATAAATATTCTTTGAACAACTGAACGTGCTATAACTTATGAAACCCATCTCCCTAATGTTGGACATTTTGGTTATGCTGAGCTTTTATATGTTTGATGCAGTTGAATTAATTTATTAGGATACGTTCCTAGAAGTGAGTCAAGGTTTGGGCATCTTCATGGCTCTTTCTTAGGAGGATTTTAGTCACTTTCAATAATTAATTTTGGTACCGAAATCACTATGGATAGACCCCTAGAGCCTAGAAATTAAAATTTAATAATAGAATTTTTTATCATGCTGATGTTCAGGAGGTGAACTAAGGTAAATATATATGAGATGCACATTCCAACAAGCTTCCTCAAAGTTAATATTCAACATATTCAGCATGTTGACATCAGGATTTTTTTGGGCAACTTTCTGGTATTGTATATTATGGATCAAATCAAAATTTTATAAAATATAATAGTAGTCAAAAGCCTGATAAATTCTACCAATTTATGGTAATATTTCTTAGCAAGTCATGAAGGAACTTTCTCAGCCTGATAAGAAGCATCCATAAAAACCTACAGCTAACATCATACTTAATGGTGAAAGGCTGACTTCTTCTTAAAATCAAGAACAAAACAGGATGTTACTCTCACCTCTCTACTCAACACGCTGCTGGAATTCTTAGTGCAATAAGGCAAGAAAATGAAATAAAAGGCATGCAGATTGGAAGGAAAGAAAACGATCCCTATTTGCAAATGACATAATTGACTGTAGGAAATCTCAAGGAATCTACAAATTAAGTCTTAAACTAATAACTGTTTTTTAACAAGATCATAAGATACAAAGTCAACACATAAAAAAATAAATATACTTCAAGTAAAAAAAAATTTATAACACAACTATTTACAATAGCACAAAAAAAAAAAGAAAGAAAGAAGAAAAAATACTATGTATAAATCTAACAAGACATGTTCAGGTTCTATATGCTGAAAAGTACAAACTACTAATGAAAGAAATCAAAGACCTGAGAGATACTGTGTTCTTGGATTGGAAGACTCAACATTGTAAAGATGACAATTCTCCCTAAATTGATTTGATTTCTCTGGTTGAACTTCCCAGCAATATTTTTGGTAATAGATATAGACAAGTTTTTTCTAAAGTTTATTTGGAAATTCAAGGGAAATATTAATAAAATAGCTGAAGTAGTTTTGAAAAAGAGCAATCATGCTTTGGTAGAAAGGAGATGGAAAAAAACTAGTCCTCAGCTCACATCTATTATCAACTAGACATTTCACATGTGTTATTTCACTCTGTCTTCATAAGAGTACTGAGAGTTGTTTATTGGTATCCTGAATTTGTAGAAGATGTTAAATTACATGTTCAAGGTCATATATTCCCCAATAGCTCAGTGGGTAAAAATCCACTTGTAATGCAGGAGATGCAGGTTTGATCCCTGGGTCAGAAAGATCCCCTAGAGCAGGAAATGACAGCCCACTCCAGTGTTCTTGCCAGGGAAAAGCTATGGACAAAGGCTACAGTCCCTGGGGTCTCAAAGAGTCAGACATGACTGACTAAACACATACACACATGCTAAGCACAGCCAGTAAACAACAAAAACCCAGATCTGCCTGATTCCAAAGCCTGTCTGCCTTCTCCTCTAGTACCACTGATTCACTGATTTACTCAGCAAACATTTAATGATCAACTACCTTCCCTTGGCATTGTACCAGGTACTGGGAAAAAGCATTTAGCCAAAAGTATGTGGTTTTGCTCTCCTGTTATATGGTAGAGGAGATGAAGTCAGATACGAATCAGAGTCGCACAAGGCAATGTAAATTTGAAGCTCAGTGACTGCTGAAATAGAATCCTCTGACGTTTGCTTTTAGGTAGTTGAGGGGCTGCATCCCTCCTCCCCTCTTTCAGAATTCTAAAGGAAGACTCTAAGAATGGATAAGTCACCTTTGCTTCAGGACATTTTCCCTGATAGGAAACTTTCGAGAAGCTCTCCTCTTGGAGATGCCCTTTTCGAGGTTGAGAAAAAGTTTGTGAAAACTGACACCAACTTTTATGGTAGGAAAGAGTTAAAAATAAGATTTGTTAAATCAAAGGTTTATGATGTCAAATGGATCCAGCAGCAATTACCTAGTAAGTTAATCAGCTTGTGGACCTTAAACATTAATACATGATAGCTAGCAAGTTATCTGGCTTCCCTGGTAGAACAGCTGGTAAAGAATTGTCTGCAATGCAGGAGACCCTGGTTTGATTTCTGGGTCAGGAAGATCCTCTGGAGAAGGGATAGGCTACCCACTTCAGTATTCTTGGGCTTCCCTGTGCTTAAGAATCCACCTGCAATGTGGAAGACCTGGGTTCGATCCCTGGGTTGGGAAGATCCCCTAAAGGAGGGCATGGCAACCCACTCCAGTATTCTTGTCTGGGGAATTCTATGGACAGAGGAGCCTGGCGGGCTACAGTCCATGGGAGTTGCAAAAAGTCAGATGCGATTGAGCACAGCAGAGCACAGCAAATTATCGTTTAATTCATCTGTCCAAAGAAGGACAGAGGCAGGATATTAGTGTCAGGGTCCCTAGACTCTGATGTTGTTTATCTGGTAATTTTTGGAAGTAGAAGGGAGTGGCATATCCGGTGTACACATAGCAACAATTTACTTTCGAAATGTACTACATAACACCAGAGTCTGGGTGTCCCCTTTCCTTGAAGGTGTGGCATCTGTACTCTTTGTACCAGGGGAAGCTGGGCCCCTGGGGAAAGCCAGGTCCTAGTAATATGACAGTGCAGAATCCTGTGAGCCGCCCTTGCTAGGAGCATGAGAGCCTCGCTGACTGCAGAGTTACTCTGTGGCCAGGGCTATTGCTCTCAGATGCTTTTGAGCCTGTGTGTCACGAGAGGACATTTAGAAAATGGTTTTGAGTAACTGAGTTACTTGCTTCTGTTTCCTCAGGAAGCCACGGTTCCCAGTTCAAGAAGGTTACCCACTTGCTCCCTTCCCCATCCACATTCCTGCATCTAACCCCCAAAATCTTACCATGAATTTTGCTGCCTGAATGTTGTTTCCTTCCTCCTTTTCTAATCTAAATTCCACCCATCCTTCAGGGCCTTCCTCAGGTCCTTTGCAATCTCTTACTAGGACTCTGAGTTTCGAATGGTCTCTTGTCTGCCCCTGAATTCCCAGAGCCCTTGATTAATTCTGTGATGCACTTTGGTTCTTATTGGTTCGTTGATTTCTGAACTCATTTATTCATCATTTAAGAAAATGTTTAATGAGTGGCAGTTTTGTGCCTGGCCTTGAATAAGGCTCTAGAGATTCTTCAACGAGTAAGAAAATAGTTCCATACAATGTCTTGCCTCTCAGCTAAAGTTACGTAAGCTCCTGGATGTTGGAACCATGTTTATTTTTTTAATTAATACATTTGATTGTGCTGGGTCTTAGTTGTGGCATGCAGGGTCTAGTTCCCTGACCAGGGATTGAACCTGGGCCCCCTGTGTTGGGACTGTGGAGTCTTAGATGCTGAACCACCAGGGAAATCTCAGAACCATGTTGTTTTGATGGTCTTTATTCTCCTTCTCCTTGTCCTCCTACCTCACTGTCTTGCAAAGTGTTCCCCATCCAAAGAAGTGCTCAGTGCATACTTTAGAGTGAATAAATAAATGAAGGAATCAGTCAGTCAACCAGCCCACTCAGTAATCTGGCAATCTAGTTAATAGGTTTTTTTTTTTTTTTTCCATTTATTTTTATTAGTTGGAGGCTAATTACTTTACATCATTCCAGTAGTTTTTGTTATACATTGATATGAATTAGCCCTGGATTTACATGTATTCCCCATCCCAGTCCCCCCTCCCACCTCCCTCTCCACCCGATCCCTCTGGGTCTTCCCAGTGCACCAGGCCCGAGCACTTGTCTCATGTACCCAACCTGGGCTGGTTATCTGTTTCACCCTAGATAATATACATGTTTCAATGCTGTTCTCTTGAAACATCCCACCCTCGCCTTCTCCCAGAGTAGTTAATAGGTTTTAAACTTTGTTCTTGTATCATAAAGAGCCAGTTGCCTTAACATAGGTATATCCCATTTCTAGGGAAAAAATGTTGATCTAGAAAAAGCTCTTCAAATAATTCAAAATTGAGATATGAATATTCAGTTTCCAAAAGAATTCTTCACTTTACAAAGTGGTTTGCCACAAAGTTTCTCTACATCGTGAGCTCTTGTCCCTAGAGCATTCAAAATGCAATCAGCTATTCAGTAATGCAACCTCTAAGTGGGAAGAGAGAGGTCTGGGCAGTAACTGGTGTTACCTGTTTAGGCTGAAGTGGGTAGAGACCTCCTTGTTCTTAAAAGCAGTCCTCTAAGGACAGCAGTTATTTTAGCTGTCTCCAAGTACTGCCAAGGCTCACTGCAGAGTTATAGGACTTGATCTTTTTACATCATTCAAAGGGTATTATGATGCACTGTGAGTTAGAAACTTTTGGTAGGTAATGTCTTTCAAGTCTTGGACTTACTAAAAACAGAGATCCTTTGGTTTGTATGAGAGCCCAGCTGTACATGAAAGAAAGGATAAAAATTGGTGTGGAAAGGAAAACCATGTGGGCAAGTAACCTGGACTATTTAATCACTAGAAGTTTCTATAATGATTTTTCCAAAGACAACATAAGATCAAAGATCTGAGAGGTGCTGTGCTACAAGCACTATCCTTTGCAAGCTAAAATTGAGGAAGTAGGGGTTGGCCCCTGGAACAAATGAGTCTAGCTCTGCTTGGTCCAAGACTAGATTAGCCTCCATCCTGCTACTACTGAAGGCATCAAAGGAGACATTTAATTGGCCCTCTGTATGTCTTCTTTGGAAAAATATCTCTTCACGTTCTCTGTCCATTTTCCTAATCAGTTTGTTAGTTTTTTAGCTAATGCGTTATATAAATTTTTTATGTATATTTGGCTATTAACCTCTTACCAAACATACAATTTGCAAATAACTTCTCCCATCCAGTAGGCTGTCTTTACATTTTGTTGACAGTTTCTTTCATTGTGCAAAATCTTTTTGGTTTAATTTACTCTCATTTGTGTAGTTTTGCTTTTGTTGCCCTTGCCTGAGGATCCAGAAAAATGTTGCTAAGACTGACATCAAAGAGCATGCTATTATGCTTTCTTCTAGGAGTTTGATGGTTTCAGACCTTACATTTAAGTATATAATCCATTTCAATCTTTGAACATGGTGTAAGAACATGGCCTAGATTTATTTTATCATATGTAGTTGTCCAATTTTCCTGGCACCATTTTTTTGGAAGATACTATCTCTTCCTCATGTGTATTCTTACCTTCTTTGCTGTAGATTAAACCTACAATATCTCTGAGGTATGTCTGTAGTCATTTTGAGAGGTATAAATTGATATCTGATTATGGTTTTGACCTGCATTTTCCTGATGATTAGTGATGTTACTGAGTTTATTTTTGAGCTCTCTATTTTGTTCCATTGATCTCTGTGTCTGTAATTTTGCCCAGTACCTTATTGTTTTGATTACCATAGCTTTGCATAGTTTGAAATCATGGAGTGTAATACCTCCAGGTTTTTTTCTTCTTTTTCAAATTTATTTTGACTATTCAAGGTCTTTTGTGATCTCACCCAAATTCTAGGATTGTTTGCTTTAGGTCTGTGAAAAATGCCATTGATATTTTGATAGGAATTGGGTTAAATCTATAGATTGTTTTGGATGGTATGGACATTTTAACAATATTCATTCTTCTAATCCAAGAACACAAGATATCTTTCTATTGCTTTATATCATTCTCAAATTCTTTCATGAATATTTTATAGTTTTTCAGAGTATAGGTCTTTTACCTCCTTGGTTGTTTAGTCCCAGGTATTTTATTCTTTTTGATGCAATTTTAAATGAGTTTGTCTTCTTGCTTTCTCTTTCTGACAGTTCATTATTGGTATATAGAAAAGCAACAGATTTCTTTGTATTGTATCCTGCAGCTTTACTGAATGCATTGATTAGTTCTGATAGTTTTATATATAGTATATATATATATAAAATTATTATTTCTATGTCTATTATTATGCCACCTGCAAATAATGACAATTTTACTGCTTTTCCCCAATTTGGATGCATTTCATTCTTTTTGTTGTCTAACTGTTATAGCTGGGACAACTAATACTGTGAATAAAATACTAATACTTTGAATAAAAGTGGCAGGAGTGGCATTCTTGTCTTGATCTTAGAGGAAAAGCTTTCAGCTTTTCACAATTGAGTATGTGTTAGCTGTGGGTTTACCATATATGGCAGTTTATCATATACATCGTATATGTGCAGATATTGTAGCTGCCTGGGAATTTCCTGAAGTGCTTTGAGAAACTATTGATAAAGACATGTACTTATCTAGCAGGTTTTCTTTTCTTGGGGAAATGGAGTTTATGGTCATCATAGGAGTCCAGTGAGATGGAAGGGGCTTTCCTTTCAATAATTCATTCATAACCTTAATGCATGTTTAGCAGATTTATAAATTCATGTCTGTTACATTTGACAAGGCTTCACAAAATATTTAAGTAGATGAAAGCACAGCTGAGTTTCCAAAGGCTGTAGTGTAGAACAGAAAGAAAACTTGTTTGGACAGAATTCATTATATCTTGCCAGCATCTGGTCATCCTTAAAGAAATGCCTGCCGCAGCTAGAGGAAGCCTATGGACAGCAACAAAGACCCAAAGCAGCCAAAAAAATAAAAATAAAATAATAATAATAAATTTTTAAAAATTGAAGGAAGGAGGAGAATCACTAAGCCTCAGGAAGGCAAGCATTAGGACAGGTCTTGGGATCCCAGAAGCAGGGGTTCCTGGTCCACTGGGTACTGAATGATATGACAGTGACACAGCCCATCTGTCAGAGGGGAGGATCACATAGACTGTTCAGAGCCACTAGGAAAAAGGGACCAGGCAGCCACTCCAACTGCTTTCTATTTACATGATGCTGACAATTTACTGTCATACGAAGCTTATGTAAAAAATGTTTTTACTTGCTTTAATTGTTTGATTGTCCCATGAGATCAAGAGATAGGAAAGTCTGGGAAGAATCCCAAAGCAATAGAATGTCTCCTGAGTCATAAAATCATTTTATGCATGCTACAGACTGAATGAATGTGCCATCTGAAAAATGTATATGTAGAAACCGTATTCCCCAGTGTGATAGTATTTGGGGTTGGAGCCTTGAGAGGTAATTAGAATTCAATTGAAAGTGGGGCCCCTTTGATGAATATTTTGTTGTTCAGTCTCTCAGTTGTATCTGACTCTTCACAACCCCATGGACTGCAGCATGCCAGGCTTCCTTGTTCATCACCAACTCCCAGAGCTTACTCAAACTCATGTCTATTCAGTCGTGATGCCATCCAACAATCTTGTCCTCTGACATCCCCTTCTCCTCCTGCCTTCAATCTTTCCCAGCATCAGGGTCTTTTCTAATGAGTTGACTCTTCACATCAGGTGGCCAAAGTAATGGAGTTTCAGCTTCACCATCAGTCCTTCCAATGAATATTCAGAGTTGATTTCCCTTAGGATTGACTGGTTTGATCTCCTTGCAGTCCAAGAGACTCTCAAGAGTCTTCTCCAACACCATAGTTCAACAGCATCAATTCTTCAGTGCTTAGCTTTCTTTATAGTCCAACTCTCACATCCATACATGATTACTGGAAAAACCATAGCTTGGACTATACGGACCTTTGTTGGCAAAGTAATGTCTTTGCTTTGTAATATGCTGTCTAGGTTTGTTTTTTCCAAGGAGCAAGTGTCTTTTAATTTCATGGCTGCAGTCACCTCTACAGTGATTTTGGAGCCCAGGAAAATAAAATCTCTCACTGTTCCCATTTGATGAATATAATGTCCCCTTAAGAAGATAAAGACAAAAGAGAGAGAAACTCTGCATGTGCATGAAGGAAAAGCCATGTAAAGACATAGTGAGAAGGCAAGTCAAGAAGAGAGCTTTCCTCAAGGAACAAATCAGCCAGCACCTTGATCTTGGATTTTCTAGCTTCCAGAGCTGTGAGAAATAGATTTCTATTGTTTTAGCTGTCCTGTCACATCGAGAACAGCGAGGGAACAAGAGAGTGAGACAAATTGAGAATGTAGCATTGAACATATACATTACCACGTGTCAGATAGATAGCCAGGGAGAATTTGCTCTATGGTGCAGGGAGCTCAATTCGGAGATGTGTGATAACCTAGGGGGGTGGGGATGAGATGGGAGGGAGGTTCAAGAGGGAGGGGACATATGTATACCTATGGCTGATTCATGTTGATGTGTGGCAGAAACCAACGTGAAATTGTAAGGCAGTTATCCTCCAATTAAAAATAAATAAATTGTTAAAAAAGACAAAAAAAAAAAACCCCAAAAACAAACAAAAACCAAGCTTCCCTGTCTGTGGTGCTTCATTATGGCAGTCCGGGCTGACTAAAACAATACATCTTATTAGTTTGCCTTCCAGCTATAACCCTCTGCTCCCTGATTAATATAGTCACTGACAGCCCAGTCACCAAAGCCATAAATCTGAACAGCTAACAATCCTGGCCTCTCATCTCTCACCTTTAGTATCTCACTGAATGATTTCAGTTCTTCCTCTCACTCGTCTTACTGCGCTGTTCTCATCTCCCCCTGGACTTCCGCGTGGAGGGTGGTGACTTCGGTGTGCAGTCTATGCGCTCTCTGCCTCCCCACCCCCCATCCCTGCTTCCTTCTTGGCCAACACAACCTCAGTTCTGTTAGTGCTGCAGTGGGCCCAGCCCCGGCGGATGATTCATGACTAACCACAGGCAATGTGACATTTCTGTCCTTCCTCGTGGCTTGCAGTAGTCTTGTGACATGGTCTGGCCAGTGGGACATAACAGAGTCTGTTGGGGAGTTGCTGAGCAGTCTTTTCCTCGCTAATCAATGAGACATCTTTTCCCACCCACACCTTTCTGAGGGAGAACACATGTCTGGACCACTTTGTGGTCAATGAAGGCTGTGCCATGACATCTGTTGGTTCCTGGATCTAGAACACTTGTCCCTCTTTGTCTGCCTGGCCAATTTCTATGCATTCTTCCTCTAGGGAGCCCCCACCATGCACCTGACCTTGTAGGCACCTGGTGACTGTACTGTTTACTTGCCTCTCAGCCTCTATACGCCTGATGTTGACATATATCTTCTCTTTGTGAGCAGAAGGATAGAGTGAGAAATCTGACCTTTCAAAGCCTAGGGTTCAAATTCTCACTGTGCTACTTTACCAGTTCCATTGGTCATCTCTTAATCTCTTTCTTTAGTTTGAAAAATGACAATAATCATATTATGTATGTCATAGGATTTTTGTGGAGGATAAAAAAATGTGTAGCATGTATGGCACCCCACTCCATTACTCTTGCCTGGAAAATCCCATGGACGGAGGAGCCTGGTGGGCTGCAGTCCATGGGTCGCTGGGAGTCGGACACGACTAAGTGACTTCACTTTCACTTTTCACTTTCATGCATTGGAGAAGGAAATGGCAACCCACTCCAGTGTTCTTTCCTGGAGAATCCCAGGGACGGGGAAGCCTGGTGGCCTGCCGTCTATGGGGTCGCACAGAGTCGGACACGACTGAAGCGACTTAGCAGCAGCAGCAGTAGCAGTGCATGGTAACATCTCATCAGGCATTAATTGCTGTTGATATTTCTGTTCTGGTACCCATACAAAATCACTCATAGGATGGCTGAACTCTGATTCTTAATTCAATTCTGAACTCCTGACTTCAAGTCCAGTGCTCTTTTTAATGGACTGCAGGGAGTTAAAGAAGCCAATGCTTTGCTCATGTCTTGGGCTCAAGTGTGCTGCTGTCACTGGCGGTGTAGTGACAAGTACATACGCATCACTCAGTTACATCCAGATGTCACTGGTGGTCTGGCCACTTAGAATCTAGATAAGATTGCCTCAAACCCACAATATTGTTCCATGCAGAAGTGCAAAGCCCTCTCAGCAGCCCTGGGACCACATGATGGAAGCCATGCATCTAGGATGACAGAACAGTAAGTCTGAAGCAGCTCACTCCTTCATGATTTTGGAGCCAGCAAACAACCCTTGACTTTGGACTTTGTTTAGGTGAAAGCACACTGGGCTTCTGCCTTTTTAAAAAAAAATTTTATTTATTCATTTATTTATTTTTGGCTGTGCTGGATCTTTGCTGCTGCATGCGAACCTTTTCTGGTTGCAGAGAAGGGGGGCCACTCCCTAGGTGCAGTGCACAGGCTTATCATCGCAGTGGCTTCTCCTGTTGCAGAGACTGGGCTCTAGGGCACAGGGGCTCAGTAGTTGTGGTACATGAGCTTAGTTGCCCCACAACATGTGGAATCTTCCTGGGCCAGGGATTGAACCCACGTGCCCTGTATTGGCAGATGGATTCTTAACCATTGGACCACCAGGGAAGTTCAAGTTTCTGTCTTTTTAAAGCTCATCTCATCACAGCTAAAGCCACATAGCTGCTGAGCAGGACAAGAAATATTTTCCTCAGAAGTAATCTTGTTTTAAATAGGGTTTTCTCACCCACTCACTCCTCCTCATTCATTCATTCTTTGGAAAGAGTTAAGTATTATATACTAATACTTCCTTCACTTCATACTTAGCAAAGGACAGGAATTTGAGTACAAACACAAGGGCACTGGGAAAAAGCCAAATGGTTATTATGACTAACATCCTTTTTTAGTTCCCAAGTCTAGTGTGGCCTGTAGGAAGCAACGATTGACCAATAACATGGTTGTCACAACACAAAGTTTACAGTCATGTTTTTAGAGCTAACAATAACCACAGTAGGATGTGAGTATCTGTACCGTTTTCTTGTGGAAACTTGTTTTGTTTCTCTTCCTTTCTTTGCAGTTCCACAGAGTATGGCAGATGAGTGTAAATATTTCTCCTTGTCTCCAACGAGGCTTTGAACACTAGGTCTGATGTTTCTGATGTTAATCACTTGGACTTTGGCTCCATGCTATAGTGTCGTTGGAAAATGGCAAGATCCTAGAGAGAAATGCCTCAGATGGGAACCTGAGCCACATAAGCTCACATAAGAACATAAGCCACAGTCAAAATTAAGTTTATGGAAAAGAAAGAAATGCAAAAAATTTTTTTTGTTTATGTAGATTTTGGAAAAAGAGTCATATTTGCTCTGTAACTTCCATTTGTTGAGAACTTACCACAAGCCTGACAGGTTGTAAAGGACTTTGTAAGATTATTTTTCTTAATTCTCACAATGATACAAGGTGAGGAATGCAAAGTTCATTTTACAGGGGAAGCCAATGAGGCCTGGAAACCGTCAGTAACTCACCCATAGTTACACAAGCAGTAAGGGTGGTCTTTGAATCCAGATCCGTGTGACTCCAATGGTCTGTTTCAAAACCATCAATTTTCTCTGCTTCCATTGAGCATCCTGTGAGCACAGTGGGAAGAGTGGGTCAGAAGACCTTGCTTGGCATGCAGTGGCACCCTGATTTTGAACGTTTAAACACTCTAGCCTTCTGTTTTCTCATCTAACAGCATCGTTTCCTTTTATGCCCATCAGCAGCAGCAAATCATTGATCCACAGCCCTATCCTTCTGTTTCTGTGATTTCCCATTTTCTCTCATGTGATGATTGATTAATGTGGAGAAAAGTTCTGGGAGGATTTTATTGGGCAATGGACTGGGTGGTTCCATTGGGAGGTTCCTGTAGGAAGAAAAGGAACTGCAGGTAAATTACGATTCCTCTCCCACTCCGGCTCCCTTGGACCACAGCCCTTGTCCTGGAAGTGAGTGACTCAGCACTTGTGATGGGAAACAAGGCTGAAGTTGCCAAAGGAAACCAAACAATTCTTATTTACCAAACTGTCAAAATCCTATCATTGCAATTAAGGAGATAGGCAATTAACTGTGTCTTAATTACAGCAGCTGCCACTTCATCTGAATGCTGTAATTTGCACAGAGAATGGGAGGAGACTTTAAATTAATGTGTGTCTTTAAACAACGAAAAACATTGATGGAGCCGAAAGAAAATTGTCAGCAGTGGTCATGGAGGCCCCTCCTAAAAAGAGGCATTGTTACAAGATATGCTTACAGAACGCTGCAATTTTCTTCTGCCTTTGTTGCCTAATGGCTGTATTCTTAATAAATGCCAGAAAGACATTATTATATCCTATTTTGTCTGCAATGCAATTTAGTGATTTCAATAGCAATATCATCTGTGAAATCCTCTGCAAGTGTCATCTTTATTTTTTTTTTTTCTTAACTCAGCTTTAAAACAAAGATTTTAAAATGAGTCCAGACTCATGGACAGTGAAACAAGCTTTTAAATTTAGGATTTTAAAGGGCAGTCAGATTCGCATCTGTACAACTGTTCTCTGAGGTGAGTTTTAACATCACACCTTACATACAAGGAAACGGAGGCTCAGAGTAGTTAAGAAACTTGCTCAGGGTCACAGAGCAAGCTATGAAGTGGCCAAGCCCAGATGTGACTCAGAGTTTGTTTTTTTTCCCCAAAGGCTGGTTAACAGCATGAAGTCAAGGTGCCACAGAGGGGAACCCCAAGCCAGGGAGTGGACAGAGTTGTGGCAAATCTAAGGTGAGTAGCATTTAGAAGTTGCTGGGTGTCAGAGAGGGGACTGGCAGGTCAGGCCAGACAGCTGCATTTAGAGCTGGGCTTCAGTCAGTGGGAGGCCCCAGGGTGGAGGGGTAAGAACATAAAGCTTTCAAGACAAACTGACTGTGCTTCAATTTCTGTTCCTCCATTTAGAAGCCAGGCGACCTTGGGAAATGTCCTTATTGTCTCTAAGTTTCACTGACTTCAATGCTCTTCATCTATACTTGGGGACTAGGTCAGTTTTGCACTAGTGCTGTGAGCACAGAAAGGGATAACACAGGCGCAGTGAAGCCATCAGCAAATGTTAGCTCATCCCTCCTCTTTCCAGAAGGGATCCCAGCTCAGATCTGGGAGGCATGGGTGGTGGTGGTGATAGGGAGGGTGTTCTGCCAGATTAATTAAAAATATCCAGGAGCCTATGGTAAGAACTAGATCACGTGTTGGGGAGGAAGACAGTCTAGCAACAAGACCATGATGCCGGGTCTCTAGGACCAGGCCGATGTGGACAGCAAGTACAACAGACTTCATGCTGGGTCTGGCAGTTGGGTTCAAAGGCCTCCTGCTTCAGGTCAGAGTGAATCCTAGGACCTGAGTGTGACACTAAAAGGCTTAGCTTTGGGAGAGGGGGGGCCGCTGAGCTGTGGGGCTGGGCAGGCTTGCACATCAGAAAACCAGCTGCGTGGCCCTGGGTCCTGTTTCCCTCCAGCCTCAGTTCTTGCAGCAGAGAAATGACAGCTGTGGTAGAGGAGAGCAGTGAGTGAGGGGCAGGGCTGCCGGGTTGCCAGCTACCACCTTAGCCAGCTTGGCTGGACAGTCGCTTCTCTTTCTGATTGAACTTTGACCTCTCTTCCAGAAAGAGCATTTTCAATACAATATAATAATACAGTTAAAACTGCATAACGGTATAGCTGATGCCATAAGTACCTTCACAAGAGAGGTTGAGAGCTATAGACAGCAGCCTCCCTGACCTTGCCGACAATGACCTAACTCTCCACTGCCTTCCTTTGCTTTCTTCCTCACTCCTCTGACCAAGGTCAGCACCCAGGAAAGGAGCTGATGTTTATCATCTGGATCCTAATGTAATCTGAGGTTTGGCTTGCCTCTCTCGGAAGAACAAGCATTTTAGCTTCTCCATTTGTAACCCACATAATTACAGAGGCATCACTCATCTAACCATCAACAGACGTGCTTAGACAGGAGACCGTGATGCTCTGTCTTAAAGAGCTGCTAGTAGCTTCCCAGAGAGGAGGGCAGAAGACGAAAGAGCACAGGTGGTGGTGGCCCAGGGGGCTGCAAGGCAGAGGAAAGGTTGGGGGGGATCATCCCAGTGAGCCTTACTGTCTCAATAACTGATATCCTTACTCTCTAGTGGCAGGAGGTTGCCATCATAAGGAAGGCAGACACTGCATCTTATAAATCTTGTATATCTAGATGTAGCACAGAAGCAACAAATGTTTACAGGCTCCAGTCAACTGGAATTAACATTTGGCAGACTTTAGGGTCTGTGCCCATCATCCTGTAATTCAGCCATATGAAGCCACCTGAAACTCTCCTTTGCCCTCACAGGATCACAGAAAGTAGAGCTCAATGAACCTTGGAGACCATCTGGTTAAGTTAGGAAACTGATTAAGACCATAGTAAGGTTTGTTCATTCATTTGAAACTACTTACTGGAGCACCTAGTGTGTGCTGGGCATGGTGCTAGTTACCAAGTGTGAAGTGAAAGTGTTAGTTGCTCAGTTATGTCTGACTCTGTGATCACAGGGACTGGAGCCCACTTGGCTCCTCTGTCCATGGGATTCTGTAGGCAAGAATACTGAAGTCGGTTGCCATTCCCTTCTTCAGGGGATCTTCCTGACCCAGGGATCAAACCGTAGTCTCCTGCATTGTGGGCAGATTCTTTATCATCTCAGCCACCAGGGAAGCCCAGTTACCAAGTGTACTATGGTTACAAAATAGGCTGCAGGCAGACCTCGAGAAAATCCTCATTTCTCTTAACCTTGTCTTTACTTTTTTGTAACCCATGGGAAGGTCAGCGAGCCCCCTGAGAATTCTATCTAAGGTGTTTTGTAGAAGTAATTTAATGAGATTCTCAGGACTAGAGGACAAGAGGCAAAGAGTCAGACATGACTGCTTAACTAACACTCACTTTTGCCTGCTGTGAGTGAAGAGCTTGGAAAGAGACCAAGAGGAACCTTCTTGGAAATAGAAGAAGGTTTGAGAAGAGTTAAGGAATCTGTGAAAGAGGGGTCAGAAGACTCAGAACCCTAGGAGCGAGGAGCCAGCAGACAGGCAGAAGTGAGTGGAAGCCCCCTGGAGCCTAAGGACAGAGGGGTGTGGGTGTGGAGGGCTCCCCGCCCGCAGGGGGCAACTGCTGCTCGGGCGGCACTACAGCTGCTGTCGTGGGAGAGAGTGGGCCCAGGGAACGCAGGTCTTCCAGAGTTTCCAGAAAAAACAGATTTCTAATGGAATCTTTCTGACTTCCCATACCCTGAGCAAGCTGAACAAAGCAAGTGGTTGAATTTATCGTATTAGCCTCTCATTCTTGTTCTCGCCCCTGTGAATCTCAAAATTAAACAATTTACATGCATCAAAGTAAAACAGATTACCTCTCCTCTTTTTTAATCTCCTTCTTCATATTCTTTGCTTTAACAAAGGTCCCCAAATTAATTGTTCACAGTGCTGTATGTGAAAAATTTAATTCAGTGGTAGAACTCCATTAGCTGAATCCATTCCAGGGGGGCACACTGGGGGTGCCTTCACCAGCTGAAGATGGGGGGCCTCACATACCAAGGAAAGCCTGCCTGACTGGGACTCCTGTTACTGTGAACAGTGTTGTCCTTTCCTGCTCTGTTCTCCTCAGGCTCCTGCATTGTCTCGTTGACGACGAGAGAGTATCCCAGGAAGCTCTCTTTTCATAGACAAGGAAACTTCAGCTTCTTCAGAGCTTTCTCTCTGCCCCTGGAGACTGGCATTCCCAGATGAACCCCCAGGGCTCCCAGGGTTAAGGTGTGGTGGGTTTTCTGGTGCCCCAGGAGAGGTGATCCTGGGGAATAGGTGTGGCCTCATCAGTCAAGCCAAAGAATGGGTTTTGTCCAGGGCATCAGGGATTTTAAACATTCTCCAGGTGGCGCTAGTGGTGAAGAACCCACCTGCCAATTCAGGAGAAGTAAGAAATGCAGGTTCAATCTCTGGATAAGGAAGACCCCCTGGAGAAGAGCATGCAACCCACTTCAGTATTCTTGCCTGGAGAATCCCATGGACAGAGAAGCCTGGCGGGCTATGGTCTATAGGGTCACAAAGAGTCGTACATGACTGAAGTGACTTGGCAGCACTCATTCTTTATTTGTGAAGCTAAGAGTATAATTTTTAAAATAACTTTTAGCTGCAGATGTGGAATTTAGGAACACTACTAATTTGGGAATTACTTGCTTATAGTCACTCCTTACAAGAAGCAGTGGGTGCTTAGAGAGGACTGCTTCTGTTAACTGACCTGCTTCTATCATTTCAACATCTTTTTTGAGCCCTTTACTGTCTGCCGAATAAGGACCAAACTCCTTCATCTGACATTCCTGGTCCTCCATCAACCAGCCGCCATCTCATTTAGGCCAGCTCTCCACACGGACATCATGCTCTAATCTCCCTAGGCTATTTGCAGTTCCCTGAACACTTCATAAAGTTGACTTCAGTGCTTTTATTTCTCCAACCTGATATACCCTTTGCTTCATTGTCCAGTTATTAAAGTTCAATTGTTTGCTTCTTTAAACAATTATTGTACATTGGAACTACAAATATAATATGAAAAAGAACTAGACCTTGTCTTGCAAAAGTTTAGAATCAATAAAGGGAAACAGACATAGAAATAAATGAGCTCTAAGCTCTCTCTGCCTGGCTAACTCATCATTTTCCTCAGGGCTCCTATATTCCTGTCCACTGGAAAGCTTTCAAGGACCAGTAATGGTTGAGTCATGCACCATAGTTATCATGGTAATTGCCTAATTTCCCCCACCTAGGCTCTAGGCTTCTCAAGAGAGGAGACTTTTTAAATTCATAGTGGCTTTTTCAGTGCTTGGGAGTTTGGTTATTCAGTAGACATCTATTGAACAGAGGAGTGAATGAATTTTTAGGCAAGAGGAAGCACACAGTTCTGGGAAAGGAAGTAGAGGGTACACTCATCCTAGTCATTAAAGCCAGAGAATGTTGTCCAGAGACTGCCTAGGTTGAGTTCAGGGGATTAACAAAAGTAAGAACAATCAGTTAAGGACTTTGAGTTTCTGATTCCATATGTAAGGTGCTTGGAAATGGCCACTCACTCCACTGTGATATCAAGTGAAAAGCTGAACAAACTGAAAGCGTGACTTCTTAGATGTGCAAGAGACGTGAAGTCACAGGACTGCTGCCTCCAAAACTGGAGAGACAGAAAGATGAATACAGAGAATCACAACTTACTGGAGCAGAAACTCAGGAGCAGAAAATGGGTGAGAACCAGTGTTAGGGTTGGAAAACCTAAAATGATATCGACAAATCACAGAAGGCTCAGTGTGGACAAGTAGGAGAGACAAAAACTCCAGAGGGACCCAATCACAAAGGGGTCCCCCACTTTTGTGAAAATAAGAGAAAGATCCCCTCATGCTTTTGGCAGGGGGATGGGAAGAGGAAACATTTGAAATGCACCAGAGCATTTTGTTCTTCTTAGCAAGGCTGGAGAAGCTATTTTACCAGAGTCCAACCTGCTGAAGCCTAAGTGACCTAGAGGAAGGGAAGTACCCAACTCCAGCCCACCCTAGAGGGAGCGACTGAGAAGCACTGGTGAAGTTCATAACCCAGCAACACAGGCTCACCGAAACTGAGGCCAATCATAGGGCTTTAGAGCGCCTTCCCTTGCCCCACACTTCACCACATGACTAAACTTTACTACAGCAGTTTCTTTTAACTGGTATATCAAATAAGATGTCAAGGGAAAAAATTACAAAACAAATTAAA